ATTATTAAAAATCTGCAATCTATTTATTATGATGGTGTCAGTTGTTATTACTATATTAATTGTTATAATTATTTTTTCTAGTACATTTAAAATTGTTTATTTTATAAATATAATGTTAATTTCTTAATCTACTAACAATAACCTATTTATTATTTATTCTATATTTAATATTTTTTATACTTATAAAATGTTTATTATTTAGTAATTGTGAACTATATATTTATATATAATTTTTTATGACAAATTTATCTGTTAATTACAATTTTAAAATTAATCTACTTAATTTAAAAGAGTACATTCAACATTTAAATTATAAAAAAATGAAAACTAGTAACATACTAATATTTTATTTTAAAAATACAATCAATCATATATAAAAAATTTACTAACCTCCATTTGATGATGCACACCCATCTCAGTTGGTCGTCTCCTCTTCTGTGTTGTTCTTTCAACCTTTTAACACACTCTTCTCGCACTTTCATTGTACAAAGTTAAAGTATTACAAAAATACTTTTCTAAAATTTAATAAAATTAAAAAAATTTCTACCTTTTACAGTGTTGCCCACACTAAAGTCACGTCCAAAAAGTGTTAGCCCACCCGCGTAACCGTTCATCTTTGGACACCTCTATCAAGCCCCACAGTCGACGCACACAAAATTTAACCATGTGTTTTCAACAAATTTGGATCGTTGATAAATTTGGATGTTTTTAAATTTTTTTATTACTTGATTTAGAAGGATTCTTATTTAAAATAGTAAAAAAATTAAAGTATTTATCTTTATTTAAATTATAACAAAAAATCTACAGTAGTCTTTTATAATTAAGAAAGTTTAATATATTTTTTTACACGTAAAATAATCTCAATCACTAATTTTATATAAATTAATAATTTGATTAAAAAAATATTAATATTCTTTCATCTTTAAAATATTAAAAAAATTATAATAATTAATTTTAAAAATATAAAATATTCTCTTAAATTTATACGTAATATGAAAACACCAACTACACGTGTTGAATTTAACCTACACCGAAAAATTATTTTTGGAATACCCTTATTTTGGAAATGATTTTTTAAAATTATCCTATTTAGGCTAATTAGCCTATTTTTTTTGCACATTTTAGGGTTATATTGATTGGGACTACGGTTGATGTGGGGGTCCAAGAGGAGGTAATAATTTCTCGGGACCTCTGAGGACAGAGAGCATGTGAAGAGAGAGAATGCTTTTTCTGAACACTGCGCATTCATTTAAACACTTGCGTTTAGTCATACATCACTGGTTTTTTTCTTCGGTTGACGTATTCCCCCATGCACAATGAATATAAACGTACGTTAAGTTGTAATGTTATGCTTGGTGGGGTGAAGTGTGTGGGATCCATAGAGATAGAAAGATAGTGGTGATTCTTTTACATGAGCACAGGATTGCACTCGACAATTCTGTAGACATATACTACCATTTTTACATACTGGGTGGAGGCTCTGGTAAATGCTTTTCTGAGAAAGAAACCCATTTCTTCTTTGTCGATAACCAGCGGGGTCCTGTATATGTAGAAGGATATTTTGCTCCTTCAATTTTAAAATAATTTCCTTCTCGATCACTTTTGTATTCAAATACATTAAAGGATTTTTTATTTATTCTTATTAATCAAAATTATATATTTTTTATTCTATTCTTTATTTTATTTCTTACACTATTTTTTTCTTTAAGATTTTCCGGTTGCTTAATTCGGCCAAGTACAAGATACGCAGCAATCAATTTTGTTTACCATTCGTAGGTTGTTTTTATCCTGCGACTAATATAAAAAAATATTGTCCTATTTTTGTGTAAATCGGAGAAAATTTAGATGTGTTTAAATTACCATGATCTAAATTATCTTTTTAAATTTCGACGTTTACTGCCATATACTGTAAGATGAATCAATGAAATTAATTTTTTTTCTTTTTTGCTGCAGCAAAATTCCGTTCCGTCTCCTTGAAGGTTAATTTTATTGGTTGTAGTCTAATCTGAGGTAATTTGTTTCTTAGCTAGGTCGTTCAGACAATCAGACTCCAGCTAGACAACATAGGATGTAAGATTCTGTGCATGTCCGGAGTAAAATTTAGGTTTTAATTTTGTGCTTTTACTTTCGTCTTTTAATTGTAAATAGGTATTTTTTATTAATTGTTATATTTTTTTAATTTTTTTACTATGTGTACTATTTTATATTATTTATTATTTTCAACCTCAAGTTTTTATATTATTGTTTATCATATTTTTTTCTTCAAGTATTTGATTTTATTTTTCTTTTCAAGTTCATGCAATATTCTATAAATAACATGAAGGACCATTTTTTGCATTTACAGTGCCTCGTCCAAGTATAAAATAGTTGGTTTCATTTTTTTAGTGTTATAGATATAAAATTTTATTCTTTATATATGTACTTGCATTGCTTTTTATGTGAATTGTAAATCTGTTTCGAAGAGAGAATGACTCTAAGCTTTGATTTTTCTAATAAGGTGAACTAATTAAGGGCTCTTAAATTATTTATTTTTCTTCCGCAAACCGAACGAGCAAACGCCTTGCATAACATTTAACAAAGCAAGCTTACCTGTATTCATTGGACCCGTGAATGATCATGGTGGCTCCACTGAGAAAATTTCAAAAAATGAGACAAACGTTAAAAATAACCTCACAACAAAACGGTCTTGGTTTTATCATGTTCGGTAAAGAACACATGTTTGGATGAATATATCCATGGAATTACATAAAAGGAAGCCAATTCATGGCAGGATGGATGCTGATATGGAAGATATTATACTTGTTCTGTTGAATTTCTAGTGCACAGGCAGAATCTTTTTTTTTTTTTAATTACATGAACAGTACAAAAACTTAACGTAGAAAATGATAAATAGTTATACGTGATAGAAAGGATAAAAAAATTTAATAAAATTAATAATTTAATTAAAAATATTTAAAATGTTTTTTAAAAGTTTAAAAATTAAAATAAATAAAAAATAGAAGATAAAATCGGAATTTAATTTAAAATTAAAAAATAAAAATAATTTTATCTAAAATTTATTAAGTCATTATTAATATTTTACTCTGCAAATGTGATATTGTTTTTTTTTTTTTTGAAAAAAATATTATCTCCTTTGGTATAATATAACTGCTCTTCCCATTCGTTATACTAACACGCTTAATATGGTAATTATCTATTGGAGTTGAAAATTTGATACCTTTTTCAGTATAACTTGTTTGCATGGGATGCTATTCCTGGTGAGGTGAGACAAAGATCTTCAGCTTTTAAAAATCCAAGAGAAGTGATTCATATGCCGTACGTAGGTGTCTGTTGTTATGTCACATAGGATAGGCTTTGTGATCCCTTGGTGGAGTTGGGATTGAAATATGAAGGGGAGATTTTTTAATGGTCCCAAAATATGATTCCGATGAATAATAACATAACACGCAACACACATCAAAGTGAATATGTAGCAAAGCATGAGTTGCCGGATCACGTAGCGAGGGACATAACGTGTCCTATACAACCCCTAACGTGTGCGACCAGAGTCGTTGTGATGTTGTAAAACTCTTGTCGTTACAGTTGAGTGGGAAATGAATAAACCTTCAAAGAGAATTGATTATTTACACTTCTTCCTTGCTGAACATTCATTGAATCGTTTCAATTTTGAAATTCTGTTCTCTTATGAAGAGCAGCAGAACGTGATTCTTTCGACGTTGGTAGATAATAATTTCATAGAGAGCATAACATTGTTCCTTCAGGAGACACGATGCGACAAATATCATCTCAGAAAAAAAATATATTTTTCAATTACTCTATTTAGATATATTATTTTTAAATTTGCTACATTCTTAAAACAAGTAAAGAGAAGGTACGGAGTAGCTAAGTTGTTATACCCGGTTGCCCATAACATATTCGATGCCAACAGCCCGTGTATGTGTTACATTCTTTTGCTTTGTGATGACTGATGAGCATGCTATAATTTTATGCCTCTATTGTGTTGAAGAAGGAAAAAGAAAAGATAGGTAATGAAGTTTTGAATAAGTATTTATAGAAAATAAAAAATTAAGAAGTTAAATTAATTAGTTTTTTATATAAATTAAAATTAATTTATATTCTTTAATTTAGAAATTATATTATTTAATTTTAAAATATAAAATACATACATCAATTTGAATATATAAAAATATTTTTATTATAAGTATTTATTTTGAAAATATATCCAAATTAAGCCATAGAAAAAACATGACAAAAAAGAGAAAGAGATAGATCAAAAGCGAAAAGAATTTTCAATAGGACAAAGAAGAAGACGTGACTCTCGACTTTCTACGCAAAATTTAACAGAGATTTCGACGGAGCAAACAAGGAAACACGTGACATAGCTCAGTTTCGCAGAAGTTGAAATGATTAGGTGGTATGAGAATTTGAGTGGGCCCAAGAAGGAAAGAATAAAGACCACAATAAGAGAATGGGAGAGAAAAGGAAAAATAAGGAAAAAGGTAATTCCGCTATCTGTTTTGTTTTTCGTTTTGAATAATAAATAAGTTATTATTTTAATATTTATAAATTAAATATTGTTTTTCTTTTAATTTTATTGACTTATATTTAATTCCAATTTCTAAGTTGTTCCTTTGTCTCTGTTAATTTTGTTTGTCTACATGTATTAGACGATACAATGCTTCTATCTCTATTATTGCATACCATTATGCTTCCTTAATTGTAGTAAAGTATAAGCATTTATTTTAAATTTAATTATATTAATTTACACTTAATCATAAGACAAATAGAATACTAGTTAAAGAATAAAAAAATTATAAAATATTATTAATATATCTCTTTTTGACTATTTTGCAAACTGAAGTGATATATTCTATATTGTTAATACATTATCATCCATGCAAATCAAAGCACCAATATATGGGTGCGAGGTGGTGCATTGAATTGATTTTGGTCTCTAGCTAGCATTTCACATTCTTCCCTTATAATTTATAGAAAACATGCGTGAAAAAATCTCTATATATATACACCCCATATCCAGATTTCCTTGTCACAGAAAGATGATCTCTCTAGGCTTCTCTCATCTCTTCCAAATTCTTACGTGCATTCTGCTTCTGACTCAATCATTTTCTGAAGATGAACGAAAGGTATATAAGATATATCGAATATTGCTTGAACATAATGCACGGTATATCTTTGAAAGTGTACAACACTCGACGTCAATTTTATTTGATGTTTTTTTCTCCTAATTTCCTCATTCTTTTTCACCTGGAGAAGTAAAAATTTCTTTCAATGACTTTCAAATTTATGTTTAAATATTTTTTTGTACATAATTTTTTTGATGTTTTAAAAAGTTTGGATTATTTTCAAAATGAATAAAATATGATCCTTATTATTAGAAAGTATTTGACATGAATTTGAATGCTTTTCTATTTCAACTTACTCACTCTAAATGATCATATTCTATGTACAGACTTACATCGTCTACATGGGCGAGCGTCCGAGGGGCGTGGAATCGACAGAATTACTTCACAAGAGTATGGTTCAAAGGGTCCTCGGCAGGTCTTATACTATTAACTAATAATTACTCTCAATTTTCATTAGACTGCGTCTAAAATGAATGCCTATATTACTCCAGCATGATCGATGTTTCAAAATATTTTTTTTTATAAAACTACGGATTTATTAGATGTTAATTTGGAGATAATAAGCAATTCAATATTAGCATATATATGAAGAAAGTCGATCAGTATGTTAATTTTTTAATAAATAATTAATGATAGAAATGGGTCAAGCTGGACTTACTTTAAATAGGCCTAATTTGTTTTCAAAATTAAGATCAAATTCATAAAACTGACTTACCAACTCTTTCCTATTAAGAATCTAATCCCTTAAAATTTCTAATTAAAAAAGTATTAACATTAAAAGTTTAATCGATCTTATAATTGGTAATCTCTATTAGAGCGCTGCTAATTATGTTGTTCAGCCCTTTTTTTTAAAATCTCGAATCTAAAATTTTAATTGCAACTAGAGATTTAACACCGTCTATTATTGATTAATTCATATAAATACATAAAAATCATATGCAAGCAATTAGCAAAACAAATAAAAATGAATTCAGAATAATAATTTACTGATATAAATAATTTAGGTTGAGATTCTTCGATCCATTCTCTAATAATAAGAGAATTTAGCACCTTATTATGTGGGCAAGAGAAAATAAAGAAGAAAAGCTAAAAAATAAATAAATAAATGCATGGGACGAATTAAAGCTCCACGTACGATGTTTGTTTCTACGATCCTATATCTCCTAAAGAGAGAAAATCCTTGCTCTTCTAAGCTCTCAGCCCAAAAGTTAGTTAAAATAGCGCTTTAATATAATTAGCATGCTCAAGCCATATAGTTTCAATGAATTTCAGGCATAGAAACACAATTAGGTTTGCTGATTTTTGGGCAAAATTCAACAATGTGTGTGTGTGTGTGTGTGTGTGTGAGAGAGAGAGAGAGAGAGAGAGAGAGAGATTTTTTTTTTTCACTAAAAATACTCACTGTTCCAAATGCATATATATTCCACACAGCAAATTTGCCCCAGATGTTTTGCTACATAGCTACAAGAGTTTTAATGGATTTGTTGCGAGGCTAACAAAAGAGGAGACATTGAGAATAAGAGGTAATATTAAGATACATGTTAGATTATGTATAACTTATCTAAAATGTGTATATATTGTGTGACAAAAATTGAGATATTTGGCCAGGAATGGACGATGTGGTATCTGTTATACCAAACAGAAACAACAAGCTCCATACATCAAGATCCTGGGACTTCTTAGGCTTCCCCCAACATGTTGACAGATCAGAATTAGAAAAGGACATGATCGTTGGAGTAATTGATACTGGAATTTGGCCCGAGTCTGATAGCTTTAAGGGTGATGGACTTGGTCCACGACCAGCCAAATGGAGGGGCATTTGCCAAAACTTTACATGCAATAAGTACGTATCATTTGTTATACATATATTTGTGTGTGTGTGTGTGTGTGTGGCAACCTTCTACAGCAACACAAAGATTACTATCTGTTAATGTAGAAATAGAATTGTTTGTCTGCAGCAAAATAATTGGAGCAAGATATCATCGCACTAGCGGTAGGTTTGGACCAACTGATATCATAAGTCCAAGGGATACGAATGGCCATGGAACTCACTGTGCATCCATTGCTGCTGGAATCCCAGTTTTGAAAAGTCTATATGGGCTTGGCTCTGGGATAGTAAGAGGAGGAGCTCCATTAGCACGTATTGCGGTATATAAAGTATGTTGGTCTTTGGGTTGTGAATCTGCTGACATCCTTGCAGCATTTGATGCAGCCATTGCAGATGGTGTTGACATCCTTTCCGTTTCAATGGGAACACCAAAGAGAAGATACGCTAACTATTTTGATGACATCTATGCGATAGGATCTTTCCACGCAATTAAGAAAGGCATATTAATGTCTCAAGCAGCTGGCAATGATGGTCCAGGTTTTTATACAACTTTAAATACTGCACCCTGGACCTTTTCTGTAGCTGCCTCCACTACAGATAGAAAGTTTTATACCGAAGTTAAGTTGGGCAATAATATGAGTTTCCAGGTAAAGAAAATATAGTCAGAATGTGATAAATAATTTTCTTTTCTTTTCTTCCTTCCTTCCTTCTTGTGGATATAAGATTTCACTCAATATGCAGGGAATTTCTATCAATACATTCGATCTAGAAAATAATTACTATCCATTAATTTATGGTGGAGATGCACCCAACACTTTTGATGGATATATTAGTTCCCAATCCAGGTATCAACACTTGCCAATCTCTCTTTTTTATTAATTAGTTAATAGTTACTTGTCTTTTCTTGTATTATGTTGTACTACTTCATTCACATGTTATCATTGCTTAGGTTTTGCTATCCAGAATCATTGAATGGAGCTATGGTGAGACGAAAAATTGTTTTATGTGATGGCGTTCTGGATCCCTCGCGGGTGGGATTCCTTCATGGAGCCATTGGTGTTATATTTGCAAGTACCCGTCCTTTAGTTGATGCGGAGATATATGCAATACCAGCAGTTCAACTTAGCGAAAACGACGGGCTACAGATACGTCGTTATTCACAGTCTCCGTATGTGCAAATTTTTCAATATCACATGAATGATATACAATGTTATTTATACGCTGTTTGGTTAAAAAAAAGAAAGAAACAGAAAAAAAAAAATTACGAATAATGATGCATTTTTTTTGTTTGATTACATGAAAAGTTAATAGAAAAGAGAGAGAAAAGTTTACTTACAGAAATAAAAACTCAAACTTTTATCTTTTTATTTCCTTTTCAATTTTAATTTAATTTTTTTTTCTTCTCCTCTCTTTCGTTTCATTTTATCAACAGGGAAGTTCTTGAACTTTTTGGGATGTTTGGCGAAATAGAAAATTAGAATTTTTTTAAAAAATTATAAAATATAATAAATAAAATAAAAGTATATATTAATAATTTTATTAAAATAATATATTTTTTTAAGTGGCTATAATTTTTTTAATAAAATTATTAAAAAATATTTTTTTCATTCAAACAACTTCTATGTTATAATTAATTATAAAAACATAAAAAATCATAAAAATAGGTTTTATGAATATTTTGAGATATAAAATTATTATTAATAATATTAATATTAATATTTTTTTAAAAATTCTTTATCGATTAATAAAAGTGCGAAACTATTTAACAGTTCTTGTAACATTTATGAGTAAGTTTTTATTAATAACTTTATCTCTAAAATTTTTTTTTTTAGTTAATGATATAATCACTGAAACCCTAAAAAAATTTCTATAAGTAATTAAAATATATAGATAATAATCTACAGATTTAATAAATTTAATAACTGTTTAATTTTTTAAAAAAATTAAAATTTTTCGTGAGCTTTAATACTAAAAATAGTAAAATTTTAGAATTAAATAAAATTTTGAATCTATAAAAATTAAAAAATTGATTACGTTTATAATAAGTAAAATGTAAAAAATTAAAAAATATTTTTATTTTTTTAACTGTAAACTACAAGAATTTTAAAAAAAAATTAAATAAAAATAAAACACTATTTTTACTTTCTACTTTTTTTTGAACTTGTAACCTGGACGATCGCACCTCTAAATCGGCCGGACCTGTCTACCAAACATAGGGATAATCTTAAAATAATTGACTTATATGTTAAAAATTGCTACAGGTTACCAACGGCTACTATATCTAAAAGTACAGAAGGCAAAGATCCATGTGCCCCTTTCGCTCCTCCTTTCTCATCTAGAGGTCCAAATATAATCGATCTAGACATTATGAAGGTAACATAAAAGCAAAGGTGTCCATACAACTCGTCCTTTTCAAGATTATATTTTTGAAAAAAGATCTCCTCTTGTTACATGAGCGTTATGTTTTCTGTTTTTGTATTTTCACTAAAACACCAGAGATCCCGGTCCTATATTTTTGCTTATTCCAATTGTTTCCTAAATATGTAGCCTGATATAGCCGCTCCAGGAGTAGAAATTCTAGCTGCATGGCCTCCACGCGCTCCTATTTCTGATGTTGACGGAGATACTCGAGAATCAAGTTACAAATTCTTATCTGGCACTTCAATGGCATGCCCTCATGTGTCTGCAACCGCTATCTACGTCAAATCATTTCATCCTACTTGGTCTCGTGCAATGATTAAATCCGCAATAATGACAACTGGTAATTGTCTCCTCGGCACTCACCTAGATTGAAAAAAATCTGTCCCATTTTCTATTTTGGTTACGAAACGATACATGGTCAAACAGTAGCTTTTCAACTGGGACATTATTTAATTATTTTTGCTTACGTGGTCTTTCTAAGAACCCAAGGAAAAAGATATATAGGAAATGAGAACAAACAATTTGGTTTTGCTCACGCACATAAATACGGCGTAGGGTTAGCTTTGATGTCAAAGATCATATGAGTCACTCCAAACCGTAAATAAAAATTAGGATTAAGACACTAAGTCACTTGATATTTTTGGTATTGTCCCCTCTTCCCTTCTAAGTTTCTTTGGTTCACAAGGACGTATGTATATAAATATATAAGAAAAATGTTTTTCTCACTCTTTTTTTACAATACAAATACAGTGAATTTTAAATTTTATTACTAATGACTTAAATATGTTTTCTTAGTTAATTTTTTTGGTTTTATTCTCTAATTTTTAAAATCAATGATTTTGACTTTTAGTAATAATTAGGTTAATTAAGAATGATCACGTATCAATTTTGATATAGAATAAAATGATATTTAAGTTTGATATGTTATTTAAAAAGTTTGATATAATTATATGAAACTAATAAAAAAATTAGTTAAAATTATTTTAGTGAATACATTATGGCTCCCGAAAAAGTTTTAGTCAAGATCCGCTCTGGTCCTAGGTGAGCCACTGTATATAGATATTTCTATTATTTCATGGTTCAATTTAACGGGTCAAGTATCGTTTTATAACCAAATTTGTTTGTTCATTTATTTACAGCTACCCCTATGAGTCCTCAAATTAATATAGAAGCTGAATTTGCTTATGGTGCGGGACAAATTAATCCCATCAAGGCTATTCATCCTGGATTGGTTTATGATGCTGTTGAAAAAGATTATGTTAGGTTTCTTTGTGGACAAGGTTATGATACTCGTGTGTTGCAAATTATTACGGGAGATAATAGCAGCTGTACACAAGCAAATAAGGGAACTGTTTGGGAGCTTAATCTCCCATCTTTTGCCTTTTCCACAAGTCACTCAAGGAATTTTAGCGTTGTCTTCCATAGAACTGTTACAAATGTTGGATCAGCTGCATCTAGATATCAAGCTACAATAACCCCAACTCTGCCATCACTAAACATCCAAGTTGAGCCAAATGTTTTGGTCTTCACATCTTTGGGTGAAAAAAAGTCATTCACGCTTAAGATTGAAGGAAACATTCCTGCAAAAATACTTTCTACTTCTTTGGTTTGGAATGACGGCACTTATCACGTGAGGAGCCCCATTGTTGTTTATTCTCCCCCTAGATATAAATGATTATGCTATTTCTTGGTTTGATGTTTCCTCTTCCTATTAAGGATTTAGGGAATAAATGTTTCGCGTACTTTTTAAGCCAGAAATAATGATCAAGATAATAGTTTACTTTTACTCAAACTCTTCAACTCATTCTTCTTGACTAATTTACCATCATTATTATATTGTAGACACCCATAATAAATGGTCAATTAATTGAAGTGAGTCAAAAGTTAGGAACCATCACTAATCATTGCTAGTGGTTGATGGGGGTCCTTGACTTTAATCACCATTACTAATCCCTAAAATCTAGTAGCCTTTGTTGTTGTCATTGGGTGTGGTTGTTGGCAGTATTTGCTAATAGGGAACTAGTAACAGTTTAATTAGTATCATTATGGATAAACTGAAGAAAGGATTTGGTCTGAAAACAAAATGAATCGAAAACAAATTTAATCATCAACAAAATTATGTATTAATCTGGAACTCTTTCTTCGTATTTTTCAAACTATTGTTGAGTAAAAAGTGATAGGCGTTGAATCTAATCACATTGTAGTCACTTTTGATCTGAAGTTTTACTAAAGGGGATTTTCTTTGTTATGTATATCAATAAAGAATTAGGACAGGTAATAACATAAACTTGGGAGTGCTAATTCTTCACTCTAGATGATCCAAGAGATCACACGTACATAGTTATTCTTGATCGAGCGGCTTCTCGATTGGGATCTTCGAAATCCAAGACTCTCATTCGAAGGGAGATTGACATTGAGACAATCAATTCTCCAAGCTTTGTCGATCTATGCAATGCAAACTACCTTTGTTTCAAGTTTTTCGTCCGATGAATTTAACTGGTTGAGCACTGCAGAAAGTTTCTTTGGGGAGATTTGGAGGGAATTAAAAAGATCCACACGGTTTTGTTGGGAGAGTAATTGCATCGTTATATGGAAGTGCATATGATGTTTGGCAAATGAGAGCTAAGAGCTCTTATATGCTTTCTGCTCTCAACTCAGATGGTTTCGCGGTTGATAACAAAGCTGCTTGTGGAGGAATCATGAGGGATGCTAGAACCAGCTCTATTATTCACAAGTAAAATAGAATTGAATTGAAATAAAAATTATGTTGATGAAATTATGCCATTTATATATACTATTATAAGTGTAATTAAATAGAAATAATTTATAATTAAAACAAATCAACAACTGAGACAGTATAATTTAACAACTCTGCATAATGTTTAACAATCAACATCAGCAACCTAACACAGAGAAGATAGGAAAAGAACATATCAAAATTTCAGAAACAGAACTGACAATAAAAAAAAATGAATTATCAGAAAAAAAAAAAAGCTCACCATATACATAACTTTCTTAATGAATATAACTTTCTCAATAAGCATGGCCTTCCAATAAAATGTTCCTCTGCTTTGTTCTCGTGCCCTTCCTTGTCCTTGTTACCCCTTCTTTCAGATCCTTAATTACATTACCTTCATGCGTAACTAACTTGTCTGGATTTTGCTGCTCCACTTGTTATGCTGAGAGGGTTTAGCTTGGGCCTTAATTTTGGCTGCATGTTACAATGCTCTATATATTATAATTACGGAATACATATTATATGGTTTTGATAAATATTGTTAACTAAATCTCACTCTCAGTCTTGGAATTTGCTGGTTGCCTAGGGCTCCATCCCGGCGCACCCCTGATAAAAGATATTAAAACCTTAGCTTTCTCTAGCAAAACTAATAATTAGAAAATAAATGTTTTATAAGTAAAAAAAATGTAAAGTTATGAATTAGTATTTGTTAAATATTATAATTATTTAGTTAAGAATTACAACTGTGTTCATAACTATTTAATATTAGTGATATAATAAATTAATTATTTAATATAAGTTAAATATTATTACACTAACATCATAAATAGCACATCTATTATGTACGTTAAATAATAAATCCTTTTTTTATTAATTTTTTTCTCTTCTTATCTCCATACACACGGTTTAAATGTTAATTTGTGTAGCAAGGTGTTTGATGCTTTTACTGAATTTTGACTTAATGTCGTTTTTTACTGACTACATTAACACCTTTCTTTTTAGGGGTGCTCTGTGATTTTGATTATACTAACTCTTCCAAATAGTAAATTTTTATTAAAAATATAATATTTATTGTATTTTTATAATTTTAATGCTATGATTGTATTTTTTAATTAAAATATTATTTTGAGTAATTCAATTCAATTCTAAAGTCTGAGATTAAAAAAAATTCAATTATTAGTAATGAATTAATAAATTTATAAAATAATTATTCATACATATATACACTTTAAAACATACAGAAAATTATAAACAAGTTAGTAAAGCATAATTTTTAAACCTTAATTTTTATTTAAATGAGTAAATTTATGTTTTAGTCCGAGTGTGTGTGTATTATTAAGGTAATATATATTAAATAATTAAGGTAATTTTTATTTAAATGAGTAAAGCATAATTTTTAAACCTTAATTTTTATTTAAAGGTGATCATCATATTTATTTTAAATTTTTGTAATGTTTTACACAAGAAATATTAGTTATTATTTAATATTTATTTTTATTATGTTGTAAATTACTATTATGCTCTTCTTTTCTATCATTTCTATTCACTTAAATTTAATTATAACTTGTCATTTTCTTGCTTTCCTTGCTAATTTTGTTGACTTATATTCAAATATATATAAACTGTTACTTTACTCTTATTTATACTAATTTATTCCTTTGTAATTATAAAGTTTGTTCCTCTTAATTATATTGACTTATATTTAATTTTAAGTTGTTGCTGCTTTGTCTCTGTTTATTAACTTTGTTTGTCTATATGTATTAGATTATACAAATTAAATCTTCTATCCTTAATTTTTGTAAAGTGTAAGCATATATTCTAGCCCTAGTTATATTAATTTTATAAATTTCCAGTTAATCATATATTGTTGCTCTATTCTTGCACCTGTAAATTTTAGAATTAATTACATATTCATCTCTTGAATAGTACTTTAAAATGTTAAATTACCTTTTGTAATAATGCATATACTAAAATGCTACCAATATTAACTGGAAACTTGCTTTTTCTTTCTTTAATAATTTTGCAAACTAAACGTAGTATATGTTATGTTGTTAATACATTATCATCCATGCAAATACATGGGTGCGATGGTGGTACATTGAATTGATTGTGGTGGCCATTGCTGTCTAGCTATCATTTCACATTCTTCCCTTATAACTTTACTCACAGGTAGAACCTGCATGAAAATACATTATCCCATATCAAGATTTCTTGCCACAGAAAGATGATCACTCTACGCTTTTCCCATCTCTTTCGAATTCTTACGTGCATTCTGCTTCTGACTCAATCATTTTCTGAAGATGAACGAAAGGTAAATTATATATATACTCTTTGTGAGCATACTGCCCGTTATATCTTTTGAGTGTACAACACTCGACTTTAATTTTGTGTGATTTTTTTTCTTGATTTTCTCACTATTTTTCACCTTGAAAACAAAAGTGAATTTCTTTTTTAAAAAATTACTCTTAATTGCTTATATTTTTATTATTTTACAAAAAAAAAACATTTTTATACATACAAATCTTTAAAGTTTAAAATCCTCTGTTTTACTTTCAAAATGAATATTTGATATGAAGTCGAATATTTTTCAGAATCACTTCGTACTTCCGTTTTCTTTGTTCTTTTCTAATGTGTCTTGCTCACTCTAATCATATTCTACGTACAGACTTACATCGTCTACATGGGGGAGCATCCTAAGGGCGTTGGATCCGCAGAGTTGCTTCACACAAGTATGGTTCAAAGTGTCCTCGGCAGGTCTTGCACTGCTAACTAATAAGATTTGTATACATTTTTAATCTCGATAAATATTATTAATTTCCCCATAATTTTGCTACTCTACTGGGTTCAATCTCCGTAATTCACTCCTTCCATTCTCATATTAAAATTCAAGTCCACCAAATTTAGACTTACCACTTGTTCTGATAATGTCTTATAACACGTTGGTGTATCTTGCTAGATGCAAAAGTTAACCACAATTTGGCATTCTAATTAATTACTCTCTTCATTGAATATTTTATGCAAGTTATATATGTAAATATTTTAACATGAGTAGGTGGGGAGGGAGTTAAATAATTAATATGAAGTATATTCAAATCCAAAGATAAGTGTTATCATTGTTAAAAAAAACAAACACTGCTCAAAGACATAATATGCCATTCGATGTCAATTATGCAAGCATTTAACATTTGATGTTGAGAATAGAATATTGCAAAGGTTACTCTAACATAAGGGCATTTTTGTGAGAGTTATATAATTCATATAATATATTTTTATAACACTTTTATAATACTGTTTTTTTCTATTTCATCATACACTTTTCTTTCTTCTCTTCTTTTCTCTTTCATGCGTCTATATACTTTTGCATAATTTTATTGTACAAGAATAGTTTCTCTTTCTATGAATACTCACTATTCCCAACAGCAAATTTGCACCAGACGTTTTGCTGCATAGCTACAAGAGTTTTAATGGATTTGTTGCGAGGCTAACAAAAGAGGAAACAATGAAAATGAGAGGTAACGTTAAGATGCATTTAATCTATGTATAACTCATATATACTGTATATATTGTATGAACAAATTTGATATATTTGGCCAGAAATAGATGGTGTGGTATCTATTATACCAAATAGAAACAGTAAGCCTCAAACATCAAGGTCTTGGGATTTCCTAGGCTTCCCCGAACAAGTCAGAAGAATCGTTACAGAAAGTAACATGGTCGTTGGAGTAATTGATAGTGGAATTTGGCCTGAGTCTGAGAGCTTTAATGACAAAGGATTTGGTCCACCACCACCGAAATGGAAGGGAACATGCCATAACTTTACTTGCAATAAGTATGTACTATATAAATGTGTGTGCGTGCGTGTGTGTGTGTGGCAATCAACTACCGCAATAGAAAGATTACCTGTAGCAATTTGTTAATGCATACGTGTCTGTTAATTTGCAGCAAAATAGTTGGAGCAAAATACTTTAAGATTAATGGAGGGTTTGGAAAAGATGACATCATATCTCCAAGAGATTCAGATGGTCATGGGACTCATTGTGCATCTGTCGCTGCTGGAAACTCAGTTAGGTTTGCAAGTTTATTTGGGCTTGGCTCAGGGACAGCTAGAGGAGGAGTTCCATTAGCACGTATTGCTGTATATAAAGTGTGTTGGTCAGATATATGTCAAGATATTGATGTGCTTGCAGCATTTGATGAAGCCATTAGAGATGGTGTTGACATACTTTCTGTGTCATTAGGACCTACAGAGGTGATACACCCTAACTATTTTGAGGACGTATTTGCAATAGGAGCTTTCCATGCAATGAAGAATGGGATATTGACATCTAAAACTGCCGATAATTTGGGCCCAAATCCCTACTCGATGTCAAATACTGCACCTTGGTTCCTTTCTGTAGCTGCTAGCACTATAGATAGAAAGTTTTTTTACCAATGTTCAGTTGGGCAATGGCAAGATCTATCAGGTAAAATTCATTACAGAAATGATGCATGGATACGTAATATTCTGTAAGAAGGGTTTATCTACCTTGGACTTTAGGAAATTTAGATCATGATAAACTCAAAATTAAATCAATGGTAAACATATTGTTATTTATTTTAGAAAAACTCACTTTAAATAAAATTCCTTCCATCATTCAAGCCTCTATAATATATCATAACTGAGCTACTTTTTTTGCACGCAAAGTTTCTTCTTCTTCTTAATTTAGTACATTAATTTCATGACAACTAAATACAGAAATTAAACCCTTTAATAAAACCTATTGATAGAATTGTAAAAAATTGACCCTTTTTATAATGCATATACTAAAATGCTACCAATATTAGCTGGAAACTTGCTTTTTCTTTCTTTAATAATTTTGCAAACTAAACGTAGTATATGTTATGTTGTTAATACATTATCATCCATGCAAATACATGGGTGATGGTGGTACATTGAATTGATTGTGGTGGCCATTGGTGTCTAGCTATCATTTCACATTCTTCCCTTACAACTTTACTCACAGGTAGAACCTGCATGAAAATACATTATCCCATATCAAGATTTCCTTGTCACAGAAAGATTATCTCTCTACGCTTTTCCCATCTCTTTCAAATTCTTACGTGCATTCTGATATCCTTGCGGCATTTGATGAAGCCATTATGGATGGTGTTGACATTCTTTCTGTTTCATGGGACCTTCAAAGGTGCGATACAATAACTATTTTGAAGACATATATGCGATAGGAGCTTTTCATGCATTGAAGAAAGGAATATTAATGTCTAAAACTGCTGGCAATTTGGGTTCAAAACCATTCACAATCTCAAATAATGCTCCATGGTTCATTTCTGGCTGCCAACACCATAGATAGAAAGTTTTTGACCAGTGTCCAGTTAGGCAATGGCAAGATCTATCAGGTAATATTCATTTTAGAAACATTTACTTCAAGATATTAATAATGATAATATTTTTTACTTATGTTTTTTATGTCTTACTTGTTGAGACTCTTCTTTCAAATACGGCAAGTGTACCAAGTCTGTTGCAAGTAATAACTGGTAAAGTATCAGAGTATCTAATAATTGTATAAAATAAGTTATTTGAGATGATGACTTCAACACTTTTCATGTTAAAAGTTGAATTATTTTGTTAAATTCCCTTCAAACTTGGAACTTTTACAAATACATATATATTTTTTTTTGAAATAAATGCAATTTTAGTGTTTTGATCCATTTTTGATCTATTTTGTAGTTGGAATTAAAAGAGAAACATCATTTAAGGTTGAAGAAGATTAGAAAAAGTCAGAGAAGGAGTATGTGAAACATGAAGTTGCATAAAAGTTAGTTTCTAGAGGTTTCTCGCTATAGCGAAACACCTTACTGTAGCGAGACACTCTCGCGGTAGTGAGACACTTTCGTTGTAGCGAGAATGCTTAATAAGAAGAAGGTGAATCTATGCTCCTCTCGCTACAGCGAGAACACTTTCGCTGTAACGAGAGATCTTAGTGTCGCTGTAGTGAGAAATATAGCTGCAGGGAAAGGCAAACAGAATGATCTAATTTCTATTTTCATTTCTCGCTACAGCGAGGAGTTTTCGCTGTAGCGAGAGAAGTTTGAGCAGATCAGTATAAAAGGTAACTTTTATGTTTAAGAGTGGGGTTACTGTCCCAAACCCATTTCCAAAGGTCTAGAGCAGCGCAAGGCATAGAAAAAGAGTAGGAATACTCGGTTTTTGATGTTCTATTCTATTTGTATCTCAATTCTTATTGCTATGGTTGCCATGAGCAGCTAAATTTTGTATGGGATTAAATGTAAATCTTCAAACCTGATGTATTCTCAGTAATTTATATAAATATAGCCGTTTCTTTTTCATTTCTATTGATTTGGTGATTTCAATCTATTGTAATGGTTAAATCTAGCTACTTGATGGTTTATGAAGTTCAGATCTGAATAATATTTGAAAAGATACTACTTAGATCTAAATCTGATTGAGATTACTCAATAATTAGTTGCTCTAAAAATAGATTTTAAGTTATTGATTGCTTTTAAATCCTAATTTTAATACTGGATAGTTTGTTAATTGTTTGAGGAATCAACATTTGAGAAGTTATCTTAGGAATATATTTTCAAAGAATTAAAATATAGGACTTTTGTATTTTGTATCAAATTCTTTGAAAATTGTAGCTATATTTATCACCGAATTACTAGAATATAAAGGGGAAGATAGATGAAATTCAATCCCAACTTTTTAACTTAAATTGTTATCATATTTTACATTAGTGCTTTACATTTTAATTGTTATTCAATATTTTATGAAAATTATCTATCAATTATATTGTATATAAGCTCAATTAATTTATATCTTATTAATTAGTATATTTGAATTGTTCTCTGAGGACGATACTCTCGTACTCTACCGGTTATTAAATATTATTAAAATTTAAAATTAAAATTTTACAAAAATATAGTAAAAAAATAAATTTAAGCCCACCATATTTTATTAAATATTATTAATTACTGAAAAAATAAAAAATAAAGGTATGTTTATATTTTATATTAAATATTGTTCAATAAATTTATTATTTTCTTAACTAACTCTCCAAAATTAGGATTAGTTTGTATTTGCTTATAAAATTTTCAACTGTTCTTAATTTATTGAAAAAGCTAAAATTCTAAACTTGTGTAGCTTCTAGTATAGGTTACGTGAGAGCGTCATTTCTTTGCTAACTATATGCAAAATTAATTTTCGATGCAATATATAAATGAAACATTTTACATTATCATATAATATTGACATATTATATAATATTTTAAATTATATGAAATAATAATTTTTTATATAATATGATAACACGTTAATTTTAAATGACATTATAAAATATTTTAGTACACCAAAAGTTAAATTTATGTAAATGTTCAAATGCATAATTGGCTATATATTAGTATAAATATATTTTTAATTTTTAGAATAGTTTGAATTTAATTTACTGCCAGTGTATATTTTACTTTCATTCAATTGAAAAAAAAAACTTTTAAAATAAGTTTGTCTTTAACAAGGGTTTATTTATTTTAAATTTTAATTAGGGAATTAAGATTTTGAAGGCCTTATAACGTTTTTATTGTAGACAAACTCACTTGAAATAAATTTCTTGTTTCATTCAATCATCTTTATATCACAATGTAGGAGATCGTTCTTATGTGCTTAAACTTGTGTTTTTAGTACATTTCACGATCCCTTGATTCAACTCATGAATAGTGGAGTTGTTTGACATGTAATGAGAGCTTGATGAATTCAAATCTCATAATATATTTATTTATTTATTTTAATTTTTCACGCCATTATTTTATCACTAACTTTACACCCCTTGAAAAGAAAAATGCATCTTGCTCTCTCTCTTTTCTCTCCATGTGTAGAGTAATTTGACATATTATATAAGGAAATATGGAGGGTGTAAAAGGTGATGTTATAGTGAGACGATTTTCTTTTCCTTCTTTTTGATGGATCGTATCTAAGCTTCTTTTGGTCCATACAGAACATTCTTATTTGAATTAAAAAAATAAATTAATATGGAATATTTCACCATGCAGGGGGTTTCAGTAAATACATTTGATCTAAAAAATACAAGCTATCCCTTCAAGGCAGTGAATCCTGGACTAGTTTATGATGCTAGTGAAATTGATTATGTTAAGTTTTTGTGTGGTGAAGGTTATGATACAAGAAAGCTACATATTATTACAGGAGATAATAGCACTTGTACGAAAGCAAATAATGGAACTGTTTGGGACCTTAATCTCCCATCTTTTGCTCTTTCCACAATTCGCTCTACAAAAACTAGTGCCATTTTTCGCAGAACCGTTACAAATGTTGGATCAGCTACATCCACATATAATGCTACAATAACTACTCATCCATCTTCGTTAATCATCACAGTTTTGCCAAATGTTTTGCACTTCTCATCTTTGGGTCAAAAACAGTCATTCACGCTTAAGATTGAAGGGAGCATTACTGCAGACAATGTTTCTTCTTCTTTGATTTGGGATGACGGCACTCATCAAGTAAAGAGCCCTATTGTGGTCTACGTTCCCCCGTAAGTTTTCTACTATGAACCTTGTCAATGAAAAAATAAGCCACAAGATTGGCAATGATCATGTTATTTCTTGGCTTGCTTTTTCTCCTACCTATTAAGTGTTAGTGCATAAATATTTTGGTTACTTTGTAAACCAAAATTGAAGATCAATATAATATTTTATTTTAGGCATTGTATTTTCTATTCATTTTCTTGACTAATTTACCATCATTAGAAACTTATAATTTATTCTTTTTTCATTAAATTAGTAGAACATTTTCATGAACAAAAATAAGAAACTTATAACTTTTAAAAGGTAGTTTATAAAAAATTAATCTAAATAATATTTAACTTATTAGAAATTAAAAGATTTTTTTTATAAAAAATTTGTGACATCTCCTTTTAAATGTTAGATGTAAAGCTTGAAAAAAGTAGTTTACAATTGACTATATTTGAGTTATGAGCTGGAAAAAGCAGATGCTTTGATCCTCAGGCTAATGCCATTGGGTTGTCCTTTTTAATGGACTTTAAACAATGTTTCTTAGATGGTGCGATTTTGTTTAAATGTAAAATCGTACATTAGTGGTTAGCAATATATATATCGAATATAATATAAATTAGAGGATTTTACTTTAAAATATTTAAGATATTTTTCAAATTAACAGTTCAAACACTCTTTCTCACTGCTGGATCAAATTCATATTAAAATTCTAATAAATTTTATATAAAAATAATTAAATTTTTATTTGTAAAAATCCTACACACTTATATATTAAATATCATCGGTTTTCTTCGTAATTCGTTCAATCAATGATACACATATTAAATCAAAGGATTAAATATTTGGTGATACATGGAGTAGTAGGGGCTAAAGCACTAATACCTCATCATTTATAATTTTCCCATGTCACCAAATATATATTAGTGTGTCATATCCCATTTTCAGTATCTTTTTATCTTCTCATTTTAATTTCAATATTTATTTTTTTTAGTGATACTTCAACTACCAAAATAAATTAGCCTCAGAGGTCTCAATCTTCATCGGTGACTTAAATAAGTTAGCTCTATTTAATGAAGAGAAATAATAATTTAAGAGTTTTATTAATCTCAGTCTTTAAGATTGTATTTAAACTTTTATAAATAGAAAATTTTTATAAGAAAAATACACCATAATAATAATTAAAATTTTAAATTAGTCTTTTCAGTTTGACTTCCACTTTTTAGCAACTTTTCATAAATTATAAAATTAATCAATTTAATAACTAATTTAAGATTTTTATAAAATAAAATAAAATTATAAAATTTTAATAAAATAATAATAATAAATATTTTATTGCATTACTTTATTTTAACATGAATAAAGATGTTTACAAGTTTTGCTAACGATGAATTCAACCAACTAAACTTAACTCAATTAAAAATTAGCAAATTAATTTGGATAGATAAATCCATTCGATTAAAACTATTAAAACTCAACGAAGTATAGATTAAGTCACAGCTTTGTAATGTTAAAAGTTAACACAACCTAATAGATCTAATAACCCATTGCATATGAGTTTTTTTTTTTATATTAACTTTATACTGTTTTGATTTTTTTAGTTTGTTTGAAAGAAAAAATAAAATATTAATAAATAATTTAATCTTTCTATTTTTAAATATTGTGTATTGCTTTAAATAGTGAGATAAATAATAATATTAAACTTTATAATTTATAAGATACTGTTAAAGTTATTTTTTTAATTTGTATTGCTTAATTATTTATTTTAGATGAATATTAAATTATTGATACTATATTATTTTACTCTCTATAGATTTTATATGAATATTAAACCAAGTCTCATCTATGCATGTGTGGACTCATTACTATTTTACTCAATTATATTCAATCTACCGTTTATCAATATATAAGTTTGTCCAACAGTTTATGGCTATTTAGATAATTTATGTTAATTTCACTTCAACGTGTATTGATTTTAATGCTATAAATTATAACATTTATAAATTACAACTGTTGAAATATTATTTAACGTGCTTTAATATTATTGCAATTATTAATTTCATAATCCTCTTTTTTTTTTTATTATAATCTTCTTAAAGGAAAAAGTATTAATTAAGTCAAGCCTTTATCTTCCATCAATAATTGAGTATTAACAAAGACAAGTTTTGATTTGGGTGACGTAAATGTATCACTGTAAGGATAATTTTTAAATGATCACAAGTTAAAATTGGTCCTCTTGATTAACGTAAAATCAGAGTGAATCCAGAAAGATAAGTTAAAATTCAACTAACTATTCATGTTCGATTTGATTGACTAAACATAAAAGCGTCTTTACAGTCATAATTGAGCTTCATTTGGTTGAACAAGAACAAGCTCGACTACTATTCAGTAACAAAATTATTTCATTTTCTCACCTCAAGCTCCATTAATTAAGCTCAATAAACCAAACTCAAATCATATCAATCTTTGTATTATAAATTTTAAATTTTAATATATCGTCTTATATTTACATCTTTAATTACTTTATTTTACAAATGTTAAAATAATTCATAATCACCAAAATGTTAATTAACATAAATAATTCAGAAAACTTGTCACGGAATCTGTTATAAAAGGTTACAAGTAACTAATAAACTTCTAAAATTGCAAAATTTAAGAAATAACTGTCTTAATGGGTATTATGTATCATGTTCAATATGATTATTATAGTTTAGTGTTTATGATTATTATAATGCTTGTAGTTTAGCTCTAGCCAGACATTTTCATTAGAGTATGTTTATCAATAGATTGTTCTTTAATTTATTTATCACCCTAAATTGCAAATTAAAGGTATTTTTAAGTCATATTTTCAATAAAGCTTGAAATTACCTTCAATTCCAAGGTGAAAAACATTGCTTGAATCTCCAAGTCACATCCACAACCAGAAAATATGATAATCTAAATATGCCTCACTGCTGCAAATAAGAACCTAATTGAAGACTCTCATTTTCTGTATCTGCGAGATTGATTCATTATTCTAAAATAGAAAAACGAGTCTTAATCTTCGTTTATCGCTAAAGTCTTGGTCTTCGTTTACCGCCAAAGTCTTGGTCTTCGTCTATTACTAGTCCATAATAATATTAACTGTGAGAAGGCTACATAACAACCTTAAATCGCTTTCTAGAACAATCAAAATAAAGAGCTCAACTGTTTCCAGCAAATGGATAATAATAATAATAATAATAATAATTGTGAAAAGGCTACATAACTATGTAATTTAAAACTAATATGTATTTATATTTTAAAAATACATATTAAACATTAATATGAAATCGTTTGATAAATTGTTGAATAAGTATTAATTTATATATTTTTAGATTTAGTATATTTAGAAATAATGTTTAATTTAAAAAATAAATTATTAAAATTTAATATTCGTAAAAAAATTATTAATTTTTATTAAAAGTATTTTGAAGTAATTTGATTAATTTAATCTCACTTTCTTTATGTATACAATTCCTTTTATTTAACTCGATTAATTCTAAGAAGATGGAAATAAAATAACACAGTCTATGGTGTAATACGAAGGGAGTAAATCTAAAAAATAGTTTTTTTTAAAAAATGATAGAATTTTTTTATGTAATTTTGATATTTTAAAATATATTAATTTAATTGTTTAATTTGTGTTTACCCATTTATTGTTTATTTTATCTATATATATATATATATATGTGTGTGTCGACTTTTCATTTTTTATAATAACTTAAAATTTGTATATTGAATGAGACACTCATCACTGCGTGACTATTTATATTTTTTGTTTTTAACATTGTTTTTTTATTTTATTTTATTTCATGTATGTATATGTTTTTAGCTATTCGTATTTTTTAACCTTTCAAAATTTAAATTTTTGCTATTTATTTAACTTTTAGAAACAAACAAATAAATTTAATATATTTATCATTAATAATTTTAAAAAATAATTTGTTATATATATGAATCATAAATAAAAAAAATTATATATTGGTATAATATTTATTAAATAATATTTTCACATTCATATGTTTTAGTGTTGGTGTATGATAGTTAAAATGTTTTTTATTTATTTCATGTTATAAAATACTGTTAGTAGAGGTAGTAAATTGAAATAACTAAAAAAACCATTAAAGGATCATGTAATAAAATTGGTGAAAAAACATATTATATACAAATAAGTTATAGGGACAATCATTAAATAAAATTACAAACTTACAAGTAAGGTAGAGACAAACACTTATTTAAAAAAATAAATAATTTTTTTGTGTAATCATTTTTTTATAAACTTTTAAAAAATAAAAGTTTATAACTTAAAATAATAGTTTAAACTATAATGAAATATATTTTATACCCAAAAAGTTTTAAAAATTTAAATTATTAAATTTTAGTAATACTTTGTATTTTATATAAGGATTTCCATTGCAAAAGGAAACGGTGGTTCGTCAGCTTGGACCTCCTCACAAGTCTGTCAGTACAGAGTAGGGGTCCCCGCACGCCATATTCTTCCCCGTTTCTGATCCCCGCAGATTTTTCCCTCTATATCCGTTCTTTGCTTTCTCACGGATTCCTGTAGATTTCTTTGAAAATATATAAAAAAAAATAAAAATAAAAAAACTATAATTTTATATTATTATTATTTTTTAAAAGAACGTTATATTTTATTTTAAATAAGTAAGTTACTATATTACTTTTATATGTATAATATTTAAGAAGGTTATTTAAATATTTTTATATACTTGAGATTCAAAAAACCTGCGGGGCGGAGAAACTAGTCTCCATCCCCAAATTAGTCGCGGAAGAATCGTCCCTATAGAGAAAAATTTTCTGCATTTGAAACCCCATTCAGAGGAGTCCCCACGGGAATCTCTGCAGCTAGAGATTAATTGTCATCCTTAATACAGAGAATACAAACATCACGCATTTTGTACAAATCTGTATTTAGGTTCTTAAATTAAACAATGAGGCATGAAAATATATATAGTTTTAATACAATAGTATATAGTTAATAAATATTATTTAGTTTGTAATATTTTTTTAAGTTTCTTTTTATTTAGCATAATATGATAAATACGAGAGTCATTTAAAAAATTAACTAAAAATAAAAAAAATATTTTTATTAAATATATTATTAATTCTTTTTATTTTTTAAATGTGAACATATATTAAATCTCTAATAATATATTAAATAATTTTTAAATGTACACATGTAAACCCATAATGTTAAAATATCATCTTATATTTACAAATAGTGCTTATATTTATATCTTTTAAATAGTACTTATTTCAAAAAGTACTTTAAAAATTTTATTCTAAATTTTAAATTTTAATATATCGTTTTATATTTACCTCTTTAATTACTTTATATTACAAATGTTAAAATAATTCATAATCACCAAAATTTTAATTAACATAAATAATTCAGAAAACTTGTCACGGAATCTGTTATAAAAGATTACAAGTAAGAAAATTGTGAGGAATTTTGTAAAATAATTATGACAAACTTTTTAAAAAGATTTTATATTTAACATCAATGATAATTGTTAGAATACATTTTTAAAATATAGTAAAATAAAATAATAAATTACATATATTCATCTCTTGAGATAAGCGAGTATCATGCATTTCTCAAAATTAAAATTGAATAGTACTTTAAAATGTTAAATTGATTTTGGTCTCTAGCTAGCATTTCATATTCTTCCCTTATAACTTTACCCACATATAGAAAACATGCGTGAAAAAATCTCTATATATATACACCCCATATCCAGATTTCCTTGTCACAGAAAGATGATCTCTCTAGGCTTCTCTCATCTCTTCCAAATTCTTACGTGCATTCTGCTTCTGACTCAATCATTTTCTGAAGATGAACGAAAGGTAAATAAGATATATCGAATATTGCTTGAACATAATGCACGGTATATCTTTGAAAGTGTAGAACACTCGACTTCAATTTTATTTGATTTTTTCTCTCCTAACTTCCTCATTCTTTTTCATCTGGAGAAGTAAAAATTTCTTTCGAAGTTTTACTATTAATTGACTCTCTCTCTCTCTCTCTCTCTCTCTCTCTCTCTCTATATATATATATATATATATATATATTTATATTTATATATTATGTTTAAATATTTTTTTGTACATAATTTTTTTAATGTTTTAAAAAAGTTTGGATTATTTTCAAAATGAATAAAATATGATCCTTTTTATTAAAAAGTATTTGACGTGAATTTGAATGCTTTTCTAATTCAACTTACTCACTCTAAATGATCATATTCTATGTACAGACTTACATCGTCTACATGGGCGAGCGTTCGAGAGGCGTGGAATCGACAGAATTACTTCACAGGAGTATAGTTCAAAGGGTCCTCGGCAGGTCTTATACTATTAACTAATAATTACTCTACATTTTCAATAGACTGCATCTAAAATGAATGCCTATGTTACTCCTGCATGATCGATGTTTCAAAATGTTTTAAGTTTTCTATAAAACTACTGCTTTATTGGATGTTAATTTGGAGATAATAAGTAATTCAATATTAGCATATATATGAAGAAAGTCGATCAGTATGTTAATTTTTAATAAATAATTAATGAATCTCGAATCTAAAATTTTAATTGCAACTAGAGATTTAACACCGTCTATTATTGATTAATTCATATAAAAACATAAAAATCATATGCAAGCAATTAGCAAAACAAATAAAATTGAATTCAGAATAATAATTTATTGATATAAATAATTTAGGTTGAGAGTCTTCGATCCATTCTCTAATAAGAGAATTTAGCACCTTATAATGTGGGCAAGAGAAAATAAAGAAGAAAAGCTAAAAAAAAATGCATGGGACGAATTAAAGCTCCACGTACGATGTTTGTTTCTACGATCCTATATCTCCTAAATAGAGAAAATCTTTGCTCTTCTAAGTTCTCAACCCAAAAGTTAGTTAAAATAGCGCTTTAATATAATTAGCATGCTCAAGCCATATAGCTTCAATGAATTTCAGGCATAGAAACACAATTAGGTTTGCTGATTTTTGGGCATAGTTCAACAATGTGTGTGTGTGAGAGAGAGAGATTATTTTTTTCACTAAAATACTCCGTGTTCCAAATGGCATATATATTCCACACAGCAAATTTGCCCCAGATGTTTTGCTACATAGCTACAAGAGTTTTAATGGATTTGTTGCGAGGCTGACAAAAGAGGAAACATTGAGAATAAGAGGTAATATTAAGATTCATGTTAGATTATGTATAACTTATCTAAAATGTGTATATATTGTGTGACAAAAATTGAGATATTTGGCCAGGAATGGACGATGTGGTATCTGTTATACCAAACAGAAACAACAAGCTCCATACATCAAGATCCTGGGACTTCTTAGGCTTCCCCCAACATGTTGACAGATTAGAATTAGAAAAGGACATGGTCGTTGGAGTAATTGATAGTGGAATTTGGCCCGAGTCTGATAGCTTTAAGGGTGATGGACTTGGTCCAGCACCAGCCAAATGGAGGGGCATTTGCCAAAACTTTACATGCAATAAGTACGTATCATTTGTTATACATATATTTGTGTGTGTGTGTGTGGCAACCTTCTACAGCAACGTACACAAAGATTACTATCTGTTAATGTAGAAATAGAATTGTTTGTCTGCAGCAAAATAATTGGAGCAAGATATCATCGCATTAGCGGTAGGTTTGGACCAACTGATATCATAAGTCCAAGGGATACGAATGGCCATGGAACTCACTGTGCATCCATTGCTGCTGGAATCCCAGTTTTGAAAAGTCTATATGGGCTTGGCTCTGGGATAGTAAGAGGAGGAGTTCCATTAGCACGTATTGCGGTATATAAAGTATGTTGGTCTATGGGTTGTGAATCTGCTGACTGTTGCAGTTTAGTCTGATCTTCCACATCAGAAAAGAATTATTTTTGTTATCCTTCCGTGGCTGATTGTTGGATTGCTGGAAAAGTGTGTATTTGTATTAGTGTTGTAACTGGAAAGATTCTGGCTAAGGAAAGACCTGGTATTTAAGTGATCCGTTGTGATCCACCTCTCTTTCCTGGGAAGTATTTCAGTGCACACTTTACAAGTTACACCGCTGCGCTGCTAGATCTATTTATTAGGTCTGAATTATTGCTCGCCAGTTTACGTCAAAATTTTAATTTACACGTCCAAGTTATTCCGCATTTGAGCTCAACAAGTGGTATCAGAGCTTAAGTTGGGCTCTGTATCACCGAGTGTAAATTAAATGGAAGAGAACGTAGGTACCATGGTGAAGCTAACAGCAACAAACTACTCTATTTGGAAGCCGAAAATGGAGGACATACTTTTCTACAAGGACCTGTATGATCCTGTGGAAAAGGGAGATCAAAAGCCAGAAGACGTGAAGGATGAGGATTGGAAAAAGATACACCGAAAGGCCGTCAGTTTAATTAGGCAGTGGGTGGATATCAGCATATTCCACCATGTTCCCACAGAGACGAATGCCCAGACTCTGTGGAACAAAATTGAACAAATGTATCAGAGGAAGACTGCACAAAACAAAGCTTTTGTTATTCGGAAGCTGGTGAATTTAAAATATCAAGATGGAAGATCAGTTGCAGAACACTTGAATGATTTCCAACACATGGTAAACCAGCTAGTTACCATGGAGATAAAACTTGATGAAGAATTGCAGGCGCTGTTACTTTTGAGTTCTTTACCAGACAGCTGGGAGACTCTGGTGGTGTCATTAAGCAACTCTGCTCCTGAAGGAAAACTGACTTTGTCTCAAGTCAAAGACAGCATGTTTAATGAAGAAACAAGGAGAAAAGACTCTGGGGCAAGCAGTTCTCATGCCCTTGTCACAGAGAACAGGGGGAGAAGTAAGAGCAGAGGACGAAGTAACAAATCAAGAGATAAGTCACAGTCTCAGCCCAGAAGAAAATTCAAGTGTTACCACTGCGGTGAAGAAGGGCACATAAAAAGAAACTGTAAAGCCTGGAAGAACAGAGAGAAGAAAGACCGACGAAACTCTAGATCGGATGACGATGAAAATACTGCATCCCCTGTGACAACTGGGGATGTGGTAGTACTCTCTGTTGAAGAAGAAGAAGAGTGTCAAGTTACAGACTCATGTGATGAATGGGTCATTGACTCAGCAGCATCTTATCATGCAACTTCTCACAAGGAATTCTTTACTGTGTACAAAGCAGGAGACTTTGGTAAAGTAAAGATGGGCAATAGCAGTATCGCAGATATTGTGGGAATTGGTGATGTGTGCATTCAAACCAATACAGGATGCACAATAACACTAAAAGATGTGCGTCATGTGCCAGATCTACGTCTGAATTTGATCTCTGTGCATGCTTTGGATCTAGCTGATTACGACAGCCATTTTGGTAACGGCAAGTGGAGGCTTACCAAAGGATCGTTGTTGGTTGCTAGAGGCACAGTAAATTCAACGTTGTATAAAACTCAAGTAAAGCTGATCAAGGGAGGATCGAATGCAGTCGAGGATGATGCTTCGCCAAATTTGTGGCACAAAAGATTGGCTCATATAAGTGAAAAAGGATTGCAGATTTTGGCAAGAAAGTCCCTTATCCCGTTTGCCAAAAATACAAAGTTGAATCCTTGTGATCACTGTTTATTCGGCAAGCATCATAGAGTGTCTTTCAGCAAAACGTCAAAGCTGAAAGAGAATATTTTGGAGATGGTTCATTCTGATGTATGTGGACCCATGGAAGTGGAGAGTCTTGGTGGTAGCAGATATTACGTGACGTTTATCGATGATGCTTCACGAAAATTGTGGGTGTACTTCTTAAGAACGAAGGACCAAGTTTTTCAATGCTTTAAAAGGTTTCAGGCAATGGTAGAGAGACAGGCTGGTAAACCTTTGAAGTGTCTTCACACGGATAATGGGGGTGAATATACTTCCCATGAATTCAAGAATTATTGTGCTGAGCATGGCATCAGGCATGAGAAGACGGTACCTGGAACCCCACAACATAATGGTGTGGCCGAACGAATCAACAGAACCATTATGGAGAAAGTAAGATGCATGTTAAGAATGGCAAAACTGCCTAAGCCATTCTGGGGTGAAGCTGTTCTAACGGCAAGCTACCTGATTAATCGATCTCCATCTGTTCCTTTGGGCTTTGATATCCCTGAGAGAGTATGGTCCGGACATGATGTTAAATACTCTCATTTGAAAGTGTTTGGATGCAAAGCTTTTGCTCATGTGAATAAGGAACAGAGACAAAAACTTGATGATAGAGCCATTCCTTGCATATTTCTGGGCTATGGAGATGAGGAATTTGGCTACAGGTTATGGGATCCAGAAAATAGGAAAGTTATTAGAAGCAGAGATGTAGTGTTCCATGAGCAAGAAACTATGTCGGATTCTGCTTCACCAAAAATCAGAGAACCAAGTGGTAAGGTTGATCTTACACCAGTTGTTCCTCCTAAAAATGCCACAGTAGGGGGAGAGTGTGATGAAGAACTTAGGGTTGATAATGAGCCAGCAATAGAAGATGGTGATGATGAAGGTGTTGAACAAGAAAACCCAGAAGCTCCACCTCAGCCTCGGAAATCAAGAAGACCACACCAGCCATCTACAAAGTATCCTAGTTCGACGTATATTACCATCACTGAAGAGGGGGAGCCAGAAAACTTTGAAGAAGTTCAGACTCATAAGGATAAATCCCAGTGGATGAAAGCCATGCAAGAAGAAATGGATTCTCTGGTGAAGAATGATACTTATGAGTTAGTCAAGCTCCCTAAAGGCAGAAAAGCCTTGAAAAATAAGTGGGTGTTCAAGCTTAAGAAAGATGGTGACAAGCTGTTGAAGTACAAGGCTCGCTTAGTTGTAAAAGGTTTTGGACAAAAGCGAGGAATAGATTTTGATGAAATTTTCTCTCCAGTTGTGAAGATGAGCTCTATTCGAGTTATACTCGGATTGGTGGCTAGCTTGGATCTGGAGCTTGAACAACTAGATGTGAAGACTGCGTTTCTTCATGGAGACCTTGATGAAGAAATCTACATGGAGCAACCAGAAGGTTTTGAGGAAACTGGAAAGAAACACATGGTTTGCAGATTGAAGAAGAGCTTGTATGGATTGAAACAGGTTCCAAGACAGTGGTATAAGAAATTTGACTCGTTCATGACGAGTCATGGATATGCCAAGACTGATGCAGATCATTGTGTATTTGTCAAGACATGTCCAGGTGATAAATTCATTATCCTTCTGTTGTATGTAGATGATATGTTGATAGTGGGACAGGATGTGAAGCTGATTGGTGATTTGAAGAAAGAATTGTCAAAGTTTTTTGATATGAAAGATCTGGGCCCTGCAAAACAAATTTTGGGCATGCAGATCATGCGAGACCGAAAATCCAGAAGGTTGTGGTTATCGCAGGAACGGTATGTGAATCGGATTCTGGACAGATTCAACATGAAGACGGCTAAACCAGTTAGTACACCGTTGGCAAATCACTTCAAACTCAGCAAAAGAAGTTGTCCCACAAGTCAAGAAGAAAAAGAAGCTATGGCAGGTATTCCATACTCCTCAGCAGTCGGGAGTTTGATGTATGCCATGGTTTGTACGAGGCCGGATATAGCTCATGCGGTCGGAGTTGTTAGCAGGTATCTTTCCAATCCTGGAAAAGAGCATTGGGAAGCAGTGAAGTGGATCTTGAGATATCTGAAAGGTAGTTCTAATATGTGCTTGAGCTTTGGAATACCTAACCCAGTTCTTGAAGGATACACAGATGCAGATATGGCAGGTGACCTGGATAGTAGAAAATCTACTTCAGGACTTGTGTTTACCTTTGCAGGGGGAGCTATATCTTGGCAATCCAAATTGCAGAAATGTGTGGCCTTGTCAACTACTGAAGCTGAGTATGTTGCCATGACTGAAGCAGGAAAGGAAATGCTTTGGTTGAAGAGGTTTCTTCAACAACTGGGAATTGAGCAGAAAAGGTACGTTATCCATTGTGATAGCCAAAGCGCATTGGATTTAAGTAAGAATGCGATGTATCACTCTCGTACGAAGCACATTGATATCAGATATCATTGGCTGCGTCAGGCAGTGGAAGAACAAGAATTCAAGCTAGATAAGATCCATACGGATAAAAATCCTGCTGATATGATGACGAAAGTTGTTGCACGAGAAAAACATCAACAGTGTGCCAAGCTGATTGGCATAGATCGCATGTGAAGATTCCAAGAGTGCACCTTTGTGCTGGAGGGGGAGAATTGTGAGGTCCAGCACATTTTCAATTTCGGTGCCCCCTTTTTTGACTTCATAAACAATTAATAATATTTTATTAAATGAATAGTAACTTTATTTGGCTATAAATAGCCGTGAAATGAAATTGAAGGAAGCACAAGCAGCAACACACACAAGATTTCATCAAGCATTGTGAGTGTTTGTGAGAGAAAAAAAAATAGAGTGTTGAGTAAATCCTAAGAGTGTGAGAAAAATACACTGGGGTGGGTATCATCTCTATTTCTTCTTGGTATTACAAAATTTGTAATATTTGAATAGGAGTGGGTCTCACTGTGTACACTATATTTTACACCTCTTGTGTGATAGAGTGTTGAAAGGATATTGTAAATATCCTGAGATATAGTGGAATATTTTTCGGAGTTTGTCCCGTGGTTTTTCCTCCACATTGGAGGTTTTTCCACGTTAAATAGTGGTGTTCTTTATCTGCTTATTTTATTCAGTTAAAAATAATTCTTAGTATGCTCTGTGGTTGCAGTTTAGTCTGATCTTCCACATCAGAAAAGAATTATTTTTGTTATCCTTCCGTGGCTGATTGTTGGATTGCTGGAAAAGTGTGTATTTGTATTAGTGTTGTAACTGGAAAGATTCTGGCTAAGGAAAGACCTGGTATTTAAGTGATCCGTTGTGATCCACCTCTCTTTCCTGGGAAGTATTTCAGTGCACACTTTACAAGTTACACCGCTGCGCTGCTAGATCTATTTATTAGGTCTGAATTATTGCTCGCCAGTTTACGTCAGAATTTTAATTTACACGTCCAAGTTATTCCGCATTTGAGCTCAACACTGACATCCTTGCAGCATTTGATGCAGCCATTGCAGATGGTGTTGACATCCTTTCCGTTTCAATGGGAACAACAACGAAAAGATACAATCACTATTTTGAGGACATCTATGCGATAGCATCTTTCCACGGAATAAAGAAAGGCATATTAATGTCTCAAGCAGCTGGCAAGGTCCAGGTCTTTATACAACTTTAAATACTGCACCCTGGACCTTTTCTGTAGCTGCCTCCACTATAGATAGAAAGTTTTTAACTGAAGTTAAGTTGGGCAATAATATGAGTTTCCAGGTAAAAAAAATATTTTCAGAATGTGATAAATAATTTTCTTTTCTTCCTTCCTTCCTTCTTGTGGATATAAAATTTCACTCAATATGCAGGGAATTTCTATCAATACATACAATCTAGAAAATAATTACTATCCATTAATTTATGGTGGAGATGCACCCAACACTGCTGGTGGATATAATAGTTCCGTATCCAGGTATCAACACTTGCCAATCTCTCTTTTTAATTAATTAGTTAATAGTTCCTAGTCTTTTCTTGTATTACCTTGTACTACTTCATTCACATGCTATCGTTGCTTAGGTTTTGCTATCCAGAATCATTGAATGGAGCTATGGTGAAAAGAAAAATTGTTTTGTGCGAAGGCTTTCTGTCTCCCTCGCGGGTGGGATTCCTTCATGGAGCCTTTGGTGTTATATTTGCATATTTGCAAGTACCCGTCCTTTAGTTGATGCGGTGATATTTGCAATACCAGCAGTTCACCTCAGCGAAAATGACGGGCGACATATATATCATTATTATTCACATTCTCCGTACGTACAAATTTTTCAATATCACAAGAATGATATACAATTTTATTTATACTCTGTTCGGTTAAAAAAAAAGAAAGAAACGTGTTGTTTTGATATCAGAAAGGACGAACATAGAATATTTTTGTATGGGAGTATATTTTCTCTTTATTCGATGGCTCTTTAAGTAGAGCTAAGGGAATAACAAAAAACAGAAACATCCACCTTTTTTTTGAATAACTTAATGACAAATTTAAATTTTAAAAAATAGATTAACATCAACAAAAACAAAAACAAAAAGCTTAAAAAAATAATAACAGAATCTTAAAGTATCTGTTCTGTTGCAGCTTTTTGGACATATTTTCAACACTCTTCCTTGCATCAATAGCTGTTGACACCGAATTTGAATCTCAAAGCTTCAAAACTGTCTTTAGGAAGAGCCTTTGTTAAAATATCAGCACTTTAGTTTTCAGTCTTGCAGTAGAGTAATCTGACTTCATCTTCTTTTTGCATCTCCCTTAAGTAAAATAATTTGATTTTAAAATGCTTAGTCTTACCATGGAAAACAGGATTTTTTGAGATTGATATGGCAGCTTGGTTGTCAACATGGATCATCGTTAGTTCATTTAGCTCCACATGTAGATCTAAAAGTACCTTTCTAAGCCAAATGGCTTGATTCACAGCAGCTGTAGCTGCTGCATATTCTGCCTCTGCTGTACTTTGAGCAACAATGTCTTGTTTCTTGGAACACCATGAAAACACACCTGAGCCAAAGCTAAAACAGTAACTTGTTGTACTTTTCATGTCATCAACTGAACCATCCCAATCACTATCAGAATATCCATGAAACTGATAATTCTGAGAGTGAGTGAACTTGATGCCATAGTCTGCAGTCCGCTTAACATATCTCATAATCCGTTTGGCAGCTTGTAAATGCATTTCACTAGCGCAGTGCATGAATCTTGAAAGTGTGCTTACTGCAAACATAATGTCGGGCCTAGTTGCAATAAGATACATTAAACAACCAATCAAACTTCTATAATAATATTCATCAACTTTTTTAGCTCCATCATTATTGCTAAATTTCTCCTTTTGATTCATTGGAGTAGTAGTGTCTTTGCAATTCTCCATCTGAAACTTTTTGAGTATCTCCCTTGCATACTTCTTTTGGCATATGAAGACTCCATCATGATCCTGCTTTACTTCCATTCCCAGAAAAAAGGACATCAAGCCGAGGTCTGTCATCTCAAATGCTTGGAACATCTCATCCTTAAACTCCTTAATTATTTTCTCATCATTTCCAGTGACCAACAAATCATCAACATAGACAGAAATTATGATTAAATCTGCATTTGTCTTCTTAACATGTAATGTAGCTTCACTTGGACTTTTGATGAATCCAAGATCTTGAAAATAATTGTCGATCCTGCTATACCAAGCCTTAGGGGCCTGTTTAAGGCCATACAATGCCTTCTTTAGCTTGTAGACTTTCTCCTCCTGTCCCTTGACTTGAAATCCCTCAGGTTGCTCTACAAATATCTCCTCTTGCAAATAGCCATTTAAAAAGGCAGATTTTACATCTAAATGATAAACCTTTCATCCTTTATGCGCAGTTAAGGCAAGCAGCATTCTAATTGTATCAAGTCGTGCAACCGGAGCAAATGTTTCTGAAAAATCCACACCAAACACCTGAGCATAACCCTTCACCACCAACCTGGCCTTGTATTTGTTTATAGAACCATCTGCATTTAGTTTAGTTTTGTAAACCCATTTGACTCCTATAGGTTCCTTGTGTTGAGGTCTGTCCACTAGCTCCCAAGTGTCATTTTTTTCTATCATCTTTAGCTTGTCCTTCATAGCATCTATCCACTTATCATTCTTCTTAGCTTCTTTAAATTCCGCTGGTTCTAGGACAGCAACATTGCTTCTTTCATAAATTTCAGATAAAGGTCTTGTACCTCTAACTGGAATGTCATCTATATCATCATCAAGAGAATGTGGAATTTCTGGCAATTGCTTCTTTATTGGCTCTTCCCAGCTCCATTGTTTGTCTTCCATGAAATTAACATCTCTACTTACAAGAATTTTTCCATTTTGTGGTTGGCAAATTCTATAAGCTTTAGAAGTGTTGTTGTATCCAATGAAAACTCCTGGTTCAGCCTTTTTGTCAAGCTTATCTCTTTTAACCTGTGGTACAAAAGAAAAACAAAGACAACCAAAAATTTTCAGATTCTGTAAGTTTGATTTGTAACCAAACCAGCCTTCAAATGGAGTTTTATTTTGCAAAACTCTGGTTGGTAGCCTATTCAATAAGAAGACAGCAGTGTTTGCAGCCTTTGCCCATAGTGTTTTTGGTAGTCTTTTTTCATGCAACAAGCATCTTGTCATCTCCATAATGCTTCTATTTTTTCTTTCACTCACGCCATTTTGTTGTAGGGTATAAGGTGTTGTAAGCTGGTGCTCAATATCAGCCTCTACACAAATTTTGTCAAAGATATCATTTGTATATTCCTTCCCATTGTCTGATCTTATTGGACGCAACCTACAGCCACTTTAATTCTCCACAAAAGCTTTATATTTCCAGAATATATTAACAACCTTAGATTTGGATTTGAAGAAATAAATCCAACAAAATCTGGTATAATCATCAATAAATGTAATATAATGTTTGTTACCATTTAAAGATGATGTTCTATGAGGGCCTCCAACATCTGTGTGTACCAGCTGCAATTTGTTTGTAGCTCTCCATGCTGTTTGAGGAAATAGTTTCCTGACTTGCTTGCCATATTGACAGGCTACACAATCAACTAGCTTGTCTTCAAGCAATGACAGACCTTTCATCAAGGCATGTTTTTGCATGTGTAAGAGTCTACCAAGATGGAAATGTCCAAGCCTCTTATGCCATAATTTAGTGTTACTGGCTGTACTTAAAAAAGCTATTTGCTCCTCCTCCATTAGATTTAGAGTATAGCTTTTTGCTTTCATTTTTACCTTAAATACATATCTGCTTTCTGTATCTTTGATCAAGCACCACTTGTCTTCAAATATAACTTTGAAGCCTTTTTCAACTAGCTGGGCAACGCTGACTTAGATTTCAGGTACATATAAGACATCAGAAATATGCTTCAAACCTGTTAAGCTTTCTATAGCAATTGTCCCTTTTCCTTTGGCTGATAAGTAAGCACCATTTCCAATCTTCACTTTGGACGCAATGGTCTTGTCAAGCTTTATAAAAAGCTTATGGTCATTTGTCATGTGGTTTGTGCAACCACTATCTATCAACCAAGAATCACTAGAACTGTTGTTTGTAACAAAACATGTTGCAATGAAAAGTTGCTCTGACTCCTCTTGATGTTGCTCAGTGGACACCTTTGCCTCTGTAGGTTGTTGAGACTTGCAAATCCGCTCTATATGTCCCATGTTACCACACTTCCTACACTTGACATCAGGCCTCCACCAGCATTTTTGTTGGGGATAATTAGTTTTTTTGCAGTATGGACAGGGTGGAAAACTATCATCTTACTGCATGTTGGAGCTTTCAGAGTTCTTGTTTTGCTTGTTGTTCTTCTTATCTTTGCCTCCTCTTGAGTTTTGTGCTTGAAGGGCACCTTGTACTGTCACCTCTTGTCTCATCATTCTTCTCTGTTCTTATGCTTGAAAAGCATGCATGACTTCTGCTAAGGTAATCTTGGATAGATCCTTTGTGTTCTCCAAGGTTGCTATAGAGGCTTCATATCTTTCAGGCACGGTTACAAGGATTTTCTGTACAATTCTAGAATCTGTAAATTATGTGTCAAGTAACCTCACCTTGTTGGCAATGCCAAGCAATCTGTCTAAGTATTTTTTGACTGTCTCTGACTCATTCATTCTTTGTAGCTCAAATTCCCGTATTAAATTTAGCACCTGCACGCTTCATATCCGGTCATCTCCTGCATATTCTTCCTTTAAATAATCTCAAATTGCTTTTGCTGTTTTGAGAGTCATGATTCTTGTAAAATTGTTTTTGAAACACCAGCAAACAGGCAAGCTCTTGCCTTTGCCTTCTTGCTTTTTCTTTCCTTCTGACTTTTTATCTGGGCCACAATTGGATTGTCTGGCAGCAGAGAAACATCATAATGGTCTTCCACAGCTTTTCAGAGATCTAAAGCCTCTAGGTAGGCTTCCATTCTCACAACTCAAAGGTCATAGTTTTCTCCATAAAAAATAGGAGGGGCAATTTGTGAAAAACTTGTCTGAGTGTCCATAGAACAGATCCTGTAAGACGAAGGCTCTATGATACCAATATGTTGTTTTGATATCAGAAAGGACAAACATAGAATATTTTTGTGTGGGAGTATATTTTCTCTTTATTCGATGGCTCTTTAAATAGAGCTAATCCACCTTTTTTTTAGAATAACTTAATGACAAATTTAAATTTTAAAAAATAGATTAACATCAACAAAAACAAAAATAAAAAGCTTAAAAAAATAATAACAGAATCTTAAAATATTTGTTCTGTTGCAGCTTTTTAGGCACATTTTCAATAGAAAAAAAAATACAGATAATGATGCATTTTTTTGTTTGATTACATGAAAGTTAAAAGAAAGAGAGAGAAAAGTTTACTTACAGAAATAAAAACTCAAACTTTTCATCTTTTTATTTCCTTTTCAATTTTAATTTAATTTTTTTTCTTCTCCTCTCTTTCGTTTCATTCTACCAAACATAGGGGTAGTCTTAAAATAATTGACTTACATGTTAACAATTGCTACAGATTTCCAATGGCTACTATATCTGAAAGTAAAGAAGGCGAAGATGCACGTGCCCCTTTCGCTCCTCCTTTCTCATCTAGAGGTCCAAATTCAATCAATCTAGACATTATTAAGGTAACATCATAGCAAAGGTAGACATTATTAAGTTTTATATTTTTGCTGATTCCAATTGTTTCCTAATTTTGTAGCCTGATATAGCCGCTCCAGGAGTCGAGATTCTAGCTGGATGGTCTCCACTTCCTCTTATTTCTGATGTCGACGGAGACCCTCGAAAATCAGATTACAAAATTTAAATTTTTTTTCAAGATTATATTTTTGAAAAAAGATCTCCTCTTGTTACATGAGCGTTATGTTTTCTGTTTTTGTATTTTCACTAAAACACCAGAGATCCCGGTCCTATATTTTTGCTTATTCCAATTGTTTCCTAAATATGTAGCCTGATATAGCCGCTCCAGGAGTAGAAATTCTAGCTGCATGGCCTCCACGCGCTCCTATTTCTGATGTTGACGGAGATACTCGAGAATCAAGTTACAAATTCTTATCTGGCACTTCAATGGCATGCCCTCATGTGTCTGCAACCGCTATCTACGTCAAATCATTTCATCCTACTTGGTCTCCTGCAATGATTAAATCCGCAATAATGACAACTGGTAATTGTCTCCTCGGCACTCACGTAGATTGAAAAAAATCTGTCCCATTTTCTATCTTAATTAAGAAACGATACATGGTCAAAAAGTAGCTCTTCGACTGGGACATTATTTATTTATTTTTGCTTACGTGTTACTTTCTAAGAACCCAAGGAAAAAGATATATAGGAAATGAGAACAAACAACTTGGTTTTGCTCACGCACATAAATACGGCGTAGGGTTAGCTTTGATGTCAAAGATAATATGAGTCACTTCAAACCGTAAATCAAAATTAGGATTAAAACATAAAGTCACTTGATATTTTTGGTATTGTCCCCTCTTCCCTTCTAAGTTTCTTTGGTTCACAAGGACGTATGTATATAAGTATATAAGAAAAATGTTTTTCTCACTCTTTTTTTACAATACAAATTCAGCGCAGTTTAAATTTTATTACTAATGACTTAAATATGTTTTCTTAGTTAATTTTTTTGGTTTTATTCTCTAATTTTTTAAATCAATGATTTTGACTTTTAGTAATAATTAGGTTAATTAAGAATGATCACGTATCAATTTTTTTGAAGAAAATTTTATAAAATGATATAGAATAAAATCGTATTTAAGCAATATATGTTATTTAAAAAGTTTGATATAATTATATGTAACTAATAAAAAAATTAGTTAAAATTGTTTTAGTGAATACATTATGGCTCCCGAAAAAGTTTTAGTCAAGATCCGGTCTGGTCCTAAGTGAGCCACTGTATATAGATATTTCTATTATTTCATGGTTCAATTTAACTGGTCAAGTATCGTTTTATAACCAAATTTGTTTGTTCATTTATTTACAGCTACCCCTATGAGTCCTCAAATTAATATAGAAGCTGAATTTGCTTATGGTGCGGGACAAATTAATCCCATCAAGGCTATTCATCCTGGATTGGTTTATGATGCTGTTGAAAAAGATTATGTTAGGTTTCTTTGTGGACAAGGTTATGATACACATATGTTGCAACTTATTACGGGAGATAATAGCAGTTGTACACAAGCAAAATATAGGGGAACTGTTTGGGAGCTTAATCTCCCATCTTTTGCCATTGCCACAAGTCACTCACAAGTCACTCATGGAATTTTAGCATTGTCTTCCATAGAACTGTTACAAATGTTGGATCAGCTGCATCTAGATATCAAGCTACAATAACCCCAACTCTGCCATCACTAAACATTCAAGTTGAGCCAAATGTTTTGGTCTTCACATATTTGGGTGAAAGAAAGTCATTCACGCTTAAGATTGAAGGAATCATTCCTGCAAATATAGTTTCTACTTCTTTGGTTTGGAATGACGGCACTTATCACGTGAGGAGCCCCATTGTTGTTTATATTCCCCCCCTAAATTTAAATGATTATGCTATTTCTCGGTTTGATGTTTCCTCTTCCTATTAAAGATTTAGTGAATAAATGTTTCGCGTACTTTGTAAGCCAGAAATAATGATCAAGATAATAGTTTACTTTTACTCTAACTCTTCAACTCATTCTTCTTGACTAATTTACCGTCATTATTATATTGTAGACACCCTAATAAATGGTCCATTAATTAAAGTGAGTCAAAAGTTAGGAACCATCACTAATCATTGGGAGTGGTTGATGGGGGTCCTTGGCTTTAATCACCATTACTAATCCCTAAAATCTAGTTAGCATTTGTTGTTGGCTTGACGTGTCCGCCCCAGATCACAACAACAACTTTGTCTGGCCTCAAGGCAGTTTAGAAGTGCAATCGTTCAGGGTGTGGACTTGAAAGGAGAACAAAATAAAAACTGTATTTTGCTTTTACCTGAAAAAAAAATTCTAACTTTTAATTGTAGTTTATAGTTGAGAAAAAAATAAAAAAAGACACTTCAATTTATTGTATCTCACTTATCATAAACGTAGTCAATTTCTTGACTTCTCTAAATTCAAAATTTCATTTAATTCTCAAATTCTACTCTTCTTAGCATTAAAACTCATAGAGAATTTTAGTTTCTTCCAAAAATTAAATGGTTCTTAAGTTTGTCAAATCTGCATATTACTATCTAAATACTTTAATCGCTTATAGATTTTTTTTTACAGTCCCAGAGACTATAGCATCAGCTGAAAAAAAAATTTCAAAGCTAAAATTAATCAAAACCTACCTAAGGTCATCAATATCACAATAACGGTTGAATGATCTAGTAATTTTATCGATCGAGAAAGAATTTTTAGAAAATATTAATTTTAATATTATTATTAATGATTTTACATCTCAAAATGCTCATAGAATCTATTTTTTATTTTTTGTAATTAATTATAATATAAGAGTTGTTTGAATGAAAAAAATATTTTTTTATAATTTTTTTAGAAAAAATTTATATTCACTTAAAAAATCGTATTATTTTAATAAAATTATTGACATATACTTTTATTTTGTTTTGTTATATTTTATAATTTTTTTAAAAATAGACCTAATTTTCTATTTTGCCTAAGTCCCTAAAAAGGTGAAGAATGGACCTAGTCATTGGGTGTGGCTGTTGGCAATATTTGATAATAGGGAACTAGTAACAGTTTAATTAGTATCATTATGGTTAAACTAAAGAAAGGATTTGGTCAAAAAACAAAATGAATCTAAAACAAATTTAATCCTCAACAAAATTATTTATTAATCTGGAACTCTTTCTTCGTATTTTTCAAACTATTGTTGAGTAAAAAGTGATAGGCGTTGAATCTAATCACATTGTAGTCACTTTTGATCTGAAGTTTTACTAAAGGGGATTTTCTTTGTTATGTATATCAATAAAGAATTAGGATAGGTGATAACATAAACTTGGGAGTGCTAATTCTTCACTCTAGATGCTCCAAGAGATCACACGTACATAGTTATTCTTGATCCAACGGCTTCTCGATTGCGATCTTCGAAATCCAAGACTCTCATTCGAAGGGAAATTGACATTGAGACAATCAATTCTCCAAGCTTTGTCGATCTATGCAATGCAAACTACCTTTGTTTCAAGTTCTTTGTGCGATGAATTTAATTGGTTGAGCACTGCAGAAAGTTTCTTTGGGGAGATTTAGAGGGAATTAAAAAGATCCACACGGTTTTGTTGGGAGAATATTTGCATCGTTATATGGAAGTGCATATGAAGTTTGGCAAATGAGAGCTAAGAGCTCTTATGCTTTCTGCTCTCAACTCAGGTGGTTTTGCGCTTGATAATAAAGCTGCTTTGGAGGAATCCTGAGGGATGCTCTATATATTATGATTGCTGAATACATATTATATGGTTTTGATAAACATTGTTAATTGAATCTCACTCTCAATCTAGGGCTCCATCCCTGCGCACCCCTGGTAAAAGAGCTTAAAACCTTAGCTACGTCTAGCGAAACTAATAATTAGAAAATAAATGTTTTATGAGTAAAAAAATGTAAAGTTATGAGTTAGTATGGGTTAAATATTATAATTATTTAGTTAAGAATTACAAGTTTGTGTTCATAACTATTTAATATTTAGTGATATAATAAATTAATTATTTAATATAAGTTAAGTGTTATTATACTAATATTATAAACAGTACATATATTATGTACGTTAAATAATAATTTTTTTATTAATTTTTTTCTCTTCTTATCTCCCTAAACACGGTTTAAATGTTAATTTGTGTAGCAACGTGTTTGATACTTTTACTGAATTTTGACTTAATGTCGTTTTTTACTGACTACATTAACACCTTTCTTTTTAGGGGTGCTCTGTGATTGATTATACTAACTCTTCCAAATAGTAAATTTTTATTAAAAATATATAATATTTATTTTTTATTATTTTAATGTTATGATTGTATTTTTTTAATTAAAATATTATTTTAAATACTCAAATTCAATTCTAAAGTCTGAGATTTAAAAAAATTCAATTATTATTAATGAATTAATAAATTTATAAAATATAATTATTTATACATATACACACTTTAAAACAAAAAAGAATTATAAACAAGTTAGTAAAGCATAATTTTTAAACCTTAATTGTTATTTAAAAGAGTAAAGTTATGTTTTATTTCGAGTGAAAATAATATTTCTTTTCTATATATGTGTGTGTATTATTAAGGTAATATATTTATTTAAAATAACCAACTATTTATAAATATATAATTTCATAATTAATATATATTTATTATTTAAGAATATAAGTTAAATATTAAAATAAAATTTTCCAACAAACTATTAATTTTTATTTAGATAAAAAAAATTTAGACTTAATTCATTTAAAAACTTTAATTTTATTATATTGACAAATTTTAATATTTATAAAGAGTTTTTGAATAATTTTTTTAAGCAACTCAGTCTTCACTTTATATATATTTATATATAATGTATCTAGTGAAAATATATTTTTCCAAGAAAATTAAAATGATAAATTTAAATTTATGGTCAAAACTATTTTTATTAAAAAAGCCACAACATTTGAAAATTATGACAAAATTTTACATTTTAATTATAATTATTTTCATGTCAATTTACATAAAAATAATTGATTGTGGTTTGAATAAATGTACTGTAAGATTGTAGAAAGATTTATGCATGCTTTGATTTGTTTCTTTGCTAGGAGTTGAGGCTCCACTGCAGCCAGATAACTAATGTACGCTGTCTTTGTCATTGGCAGTATTTAACTTGGATCCTTGCTAAAAGATTCCTTCTTATCCTGAAGCAGATGAAGTGAAGGTAGAAAAGAGCAACGAAAGGTTCATAAGAATTAGGATTATTTTTTAAATAAAAAACATTTTATTTGTGTAAAATACTCTTATGGTCGACACAAGAATTAACTGACAGAAACATAGTTTAATTTAATTTATAATTTCAAGTTTTAGTATAAATTAATATAATTGCATTAACTATTTTTACTTTTTGGTTCAAAATTTTAAACTTAATCATCGGGATTCACATGGTTACTGAGAATTGGATAGAAAAAGGAACCATATGCGTAATGAATAAAGTATATTAAATAAGTACAAGTTTTTAATTTAATACATTAAGGTAGAAAGTGTAATAAGAATGTTAAATTTAGGGGTAAGTATTTTTTACGTTATGTTTTCGCTACTTATTCAGTAAACGTACAAGTGTTTTTTTTTTTTTTTTTTTCTCTTCTTTCTTTTAACAAGAATAAAATAAAAAAAAACCTAAAAAATTAGGTTTCCAAATTCAAATCCATAAATGGTTAAAATAATTTTTTTAACCAGTTATCTATCGTCAATATTAAGCATTTATTAAGAAAAAAAAAGCTTCTTTCAGTTTAATCTAAATTACATTCGTTACCATCCCTATAAAAAAATTATTTTTTAGGTGACGTAATTTTCATGGTTCTCAGTTGAACTTCTTTTCAAATTTTAAATTCGTTCTTCTAATAAAGCTAAAATCCAAATAATTCCAGCACTAATACATTTTAATTTCATTCATTGCGCTGTGATTATAAATAAAATTTTAAATACAAATTTAAATATATTTTACAAAAAAAAAATCAATTTTAATAAATTTTATACACTGAAAGAATAAATATTTTAGTAAGATTAAATTTAAAAGATATAAAATTTAAAAATAAATTGTATAAAAATGAAAATAAGATTGAATAAAATGAATGTGAAAAAAGATAATATCTAAAACGCTTTTATTTAATATGACTCCTAAAAATATTATGTATTCTAGTTTTAAAAAATAAATAAATATTAAATCAGTTGTATTAAGAAAAAAATTGTAGTTTATACATTATTCTGAGTCAATTTTAATTTTAAAAAAATTCATATGACTATTTATAAAAAAAAAGTAAATTTTTTACATAACACTTTAAATTATATTTTTCATTCAAATGTCTAAAATTTATGACAAATTTCAAACTTTGAAATAATGTTAAAAATGTAAAAATATGAAATTAAATAGACACCTAATAAAATTTAAAATGTTTTATTAAATGAGATATAGAATTATTTTTTTTTGTGAGTGAAAAAAGAAAAGAAATTAATCATGTAATAAAAAATGAAGTTAAATTACTTTTTGTACGGATTTCGTCCAAAGATGAAAGAGAAGATTTAAAAATTTTAAAGATTGACTCAGCAAATAAAATTTAGAAAAATTCAGTTATTTGTATATTAAATTTTGTTGTTTTGGTTGATAATTTTTTAATAAGGAATAATTTAATTTGTAAAAATGAAAATTAATAATTTTGTGTAAAAATAAAAAAAAAGGTATGTTTAGTTATTTTTAAAAATAAAAAGTGAATTTATCAGAAAATTTTAAAAAATTAAAATTGCACCAATTTAAACTAAAAAAATTAAATATAGTCTAAGGAGCACCTGATCACTTAAATTAACTATTTATATTCTAGCTTAATTTGTAGTATTGAATTTAAATTTCAATAAATATAATTATATTAAATACTAAAAAAGTAATTT